CCTCAATCCGCGAAGCTCTTGCAACTGTTTCAAGCGAATGTGCGCCGCGCTAAGGCGAGAGCCACATCTTGAAGAGGAACCGCCCTCTTGCCGCCAAACTCTTGCAATTGTGTAACACGAGTGTGCGCCGCGCTAAGGCGAGAGACACCTTTTTGAAGAGGACCCGTCATCTAGCCGCCAAACTCTTGTAATGTTTAATCGTATGTGCGCCGCGCTAATATGAGAGCCACACTTTGAAAAGCCCGCCCTCAATCCGTGAAGCTCTTGAAAATGTTAAAAACGAATGTGCGCCGCGCTAAGGCGAGAGCCACATGGTGGAAATGACCCGCCCTCAATCCGTGAAACTTGTTGCAAATGTTTAGGACGAACGCGCGCCGCGCTAAGGCGAGAGCCACATTGTGAAAATCACCCGCCCTCAATCCGCGAAACCCATTGCAAATGTTTAAAACGAATATGCGCCGCGGTAAGGCGAGGGCCATATTTTGAAAGCCACCCGCCCTCCATCTGTGAAAATGTTGCCGATTGTTTCGCTTCAGAGTAATAAGTGGTGGGGATGCCTCAGGCGAAACGCCCGGCCCGCCCTAAAAACTTGCGTCGGGGTGCGACATGGAGTGGAGAGGAGCAGGAGTGGAGGAGGAGGAGGAGGAGGAGAAGGCTTGAGGAGGAACGAAGAGGAACGAGGATGAGGAACAGGAGGAGGAGGAGGAGGAGACGGAGAAGGTGTAGAAGAGGGATTGGAAGGAGGAGGAGGACATGGATGACAAGGAGGGGTCAGGAGGCGTAGGGGTGCCCAGGTAGGAAGGATAAGGAGGGGGAGGGTCGGGAGTGTGGGGTAGGTTGGAGGAAGGCTCGTGTAGTGAGATCCAGGTCCAACGCAGGGCTGTTCTCATGTGCAGAGATTCAGGTCACAGATTTTGCTCTAGTTCGTCTGCCTTTGAGCACGCGGGAGAAGCACGTCATTATCTAACGCTCCCCTCGCCTCTTTTCGCTGCCGCCGCACATAATTAAGCTTGGCGGCGCCGATAGCGACGGACTGTTACATGCTGCAGCCATACTGCGCAGCTTTCGAGGTAGATGCCGCGCGTGCCAGCTGGTGTCATAAATGTCAGTGCTTTCGCACATCCGCGTAACGGACAATATCTGTAATAGCCATGGCATTTGGTACATCTTCTCCAGGGCTGAACTTGGGACTGCTATTTGAAGGTCCAGAAGACCATCCATAACATTTGCCCATCAACATGAAGATCCCCATCGAGGGAATACTTAGGCAAACTGCTGGTAACCAGCTGGAGTGTTCACCACGAGTTGACGTCACTGTACCACCTGTCTCGGGGATGGTTGTACCAAATGGATGAAGGCAGGAATGCATAGGGCCGTTCAAAAACAAAAAACAACATTATGGAGAAGAATCGGCTCGGGCCAAATCCCCCCAGCGATTCGCCGTGGTTCAAATGGAATCAAACAGATAATCATCTAGACGGCTCCCTCTGACTGCGTCAGCAGATCTGGTTCGGGTCCTCTGCATAATCTCAGCAATAAGGACCCGCCAGCGCAAAGAGTCGCGACGCCATAGGAGGGAGGCGGCGGCCGCAGGGGCGTTCCGCTGGCAACCGCTACCAACGCGGAGGCAGACGAGGAATGGTAATCATCGGTCGTTGAAAATAAGTATTTCTTGATTCCCAGTTTACGACTTCCTACTTCAATTATGGAGTGGCTTCTATTATCGACGCTTCCCTACTTCATGTTCATACCCACTTCTTCCGACCGGGGTGTACGGAAGTAGAGCCCCACGCAGGGTCCCGTTGCCGTCATCTGTCATCGAGGCCTACGCGATCAATTCAAATTTCTCCGATGGTACTTCCACCGTCTTCTCACACAGAGAGGTGCCGGTCATGTGAACACTTCGCTTTGCTAGTGACTCCAAGACCCATCGCCACCCGGGCGACGGTTCCAGGATCAGTGATCCTGGTCCGTTGCCAGACATTGGTGGAACGGCAGAAAGGAGATCCCCAGCCAGCGGTTTTCGATTGTTGTGTCGCCGAAGCCTCCTGGCACGAGCTGCGCGAACAGATGGCCATTACGATGGCTGCAGTGCTGGACGCTGGCCAGCGGGCGCGCGCGGAGCAGGGCGCTGCCACCAGCAAAGAAGGAGGCGAGGACCTGACAGCGAAGTGCCGCCCCAGCCAGGTGCTGCACAGGCGGCATGATGCTGTGCACCGCCGCGATGCTGAACCCGCCGCCTGAGAGCTCCGCGATGGGCTCAATTCCGGGCCTGGCCGCGGCCGATTTTGGCGGGTTTCGGCAGATTCTGGCTGATTCTGCCAGATTCTGCCAGGTTCTGACAGATTCGGGCTAATCTGGCAGATTCTGGCCGACCCGGCATCATCCAGCGAAGCCGCGGGCATCCTCGCGCCGGCGGCGGGGACTGATGCGCGGGACAGGGCCCAGGAGGCTGCCTTCGCGAGGCCGCCGCGGCGCGAGCCCGAGCAGAGCCACCACGCGCCGGATTCGTGGTCGTCGCGGCGGGGCTCCAGGCGGCACTCTGGCGGCTGGTATGGCAAGCGTGGCTGGGGAAGCCTCTGAGGCCGCGGCGACCGCAGGCGCGACAGCAAGCGCCGATGAAGGACGTTTCGAGACTGTGTCGCGAGCGTCGTGGAGCGCGGCGGCGGCGGGGCGGCAGGTGATGGGCTTGAGGCCGCGCGCATGGCAGCGCGCCCCAGGACCTGATGCGTTGGCTAATCTGGCTAACGTCCGTCCGTGCGCGGAGTGCCCGCGCTGGGCCGCGTCCCCTGGGGGAGCCTCTATCCAGCGCCCTCCTCGCCTCTTTTTGTTCGGTGTCCGCCGCCGCCCATGTTAAACATGAGTCTCTGGCGCCGCCGACAGCGACGGATCGTTACATGCCGCAACCATCTTGCGCAGCATTCGAGGTAAGTGACGCGCGCGAGGTTCTTTTTTTATTGTTTTGTTCAACTTTCGGCTGGCTGGTATCACATATAATTGCTTCCGCACATCTGCTCAACGGACAATACCCGAAATACCCATGGCATGAATTTCACCTTCTCCGAGGCTCAACCGAGGACCGCTATTTGAAGATCCAGAAGACCACCCAGAGCATTTGCCCTTCAACATACCCCCAGCATGCCCCATCAAGGGGATAAGGAGGCAAACTGCCAGACACGCCAGCCAGCTGCCACAATTGTTGGCACATCGAGCGCACGTCCCCCCAACAACAAAACACTTGCATGTAATCGTGGGTGCTTCGAGCTGTTCCAGAACTACTGCTGATCTCAACATATGTCATCCAAAATGCGCGAACAAGAGGAGCAACAAGCTGATGACGTCGGGGTCTCGTTTTTGACAGCACCAGCACCTGCAACGGTGTTTTTGTTATTCAACTATGTGTATGATAGCAGCGTCGTCAGTGCAGATCGTCTGGGGCTTAGTCTCAATGATCGTATGTTGTGTGACCATCGGGACGTATCCGACAGTGGGCGCTGACAGTATCGACCGGATTCCGCGGTTCAATCATGTCAAGGTTGTCTCATATTCAGCGATTGTCGCTCGAAGGGTCCAATTAACATAGATGGTTCAACGTTCCCACAGTTGACATTCGCCTTGATTTCGTCGCCGTCTCTGTTCGGACCTCCCCTCCTGTGCCTCCGTGTGTCTCCTCTTCGCATGCCTCGTCCTCGTCGTCACGTCGTCCCCCTCCTCATGGCGTCTCGGCTCAACGCAGTTGCTCGAACACCCTGTCAGGCTTGGCATCGCGCGCAGAGGGTTTCAGGGCGGGGGGTAGCTCTCTGAAGCGGCGCGGGCCCTGTCAGAAGAGTCTGGCCGTTTCGAATCATGATGTCCCATACAGTTGCTCGAGCATTTTCTTTGGGTGGAGGGCAAAGGGTGACATCTGAAATGCCGGTTCGATGGATGTTCGGGGCCTGAATCTGCAAAAGGCGAATCGCAAGACGGATTGGTTTTCGAGGTGCAAAAGCCCATGTGGATTTCACCCTGGGCCCTCCGCCCTAAGAAAATGCTCAGGTTGCGCCCGACGAGTAGGTCAAAATCGACCACATCGACCACAACCAGTACGAAGCTTGTTCCGGTGTTCCTGCAATTGTCGGCATGCGCAGGACATTCCCCAGGATGTGTCCTCGATGTGGTTGTGATCGTTTGCTGTCCCCGCAATACAGTTGCGTCCGACGAGCAGGTCAAGGCGCGCTGGAAAATAGAGGGTGCCCACGTCTTCTCGGTCCTGAGCTTGGTGCAGCGTGCCCCTCGGCTGATTTGCGCCACGTCGCCCTCGGGGGTGTCGTGCCTCGGGAGGGAAAAAACACACAGACACAAGTAATCGTCGATCCCCCAGGAAATCTGGAAACATATGGGAAGTGGGGGAAGACAAAAACCCAGAAAATGTGGGAACACATGGGGAATCCTGTTATTTGGGTGTATTTATGCGTGTGTGTCCCAGGGCCCCTTCATATGCCTTCGGTCCCGACTGTGCGTTCGAAGTGCGGGGGGTCTTCGGCCACGCGCAGAAGGGGGGCAGAGGACGGGGGGGAGGTTTCCTACAAGCACCCTTGCTTCTTAAAAATCGCGGGCCTTGTCGGCAGGTGTAAGGCCGGCGCCTTCTAAGAAGCGACCTCCTTCTAATGGTCGAGGCAGAGGCAACGCCATGAACACAAATTGTTGGCGTTCCGCGCGGATTTCTCGGATCGGCGCTGGGCCCCCTGGCGGCGCCTCCGGCGCCGACCCTTGCGCGCTCCGCGCGCAAGGGAGGGGGGCTCAGCGCAGATCCAAGAACTCCGTGCGGAGCGCCACAAGTTTATGCTGATGCCGCTCTGTCGTCTTTAAGGAAGCCCTCCCCCCCCCGTCCCCCTCCTTCGTGCGCGCCGCCAAGGCCTCTTTCAGAGGGCCGCCCGCCCCCCCCGCCCACATCCCTGCGCGCCGCCGGCGGACGCGGGTCGGGGCAGGGGCCTGGCGTGGCGCCGGCCACAGGGGCGTCGATGGCGGCATCCGAGGGCGTCCCTGCCCGGCGAGGGGCCGCAGATGCGTCGGGGCCTTCGAGGATGTCCTCTTCGGGCGACGTCTCGCTGAGCTTCGAGGGCCTCCTGCAGGAGCTGGACGAGCTGAGGGCCCGGCTGCTCGACCAGCACAGGCGAGAGCTTGCCCTCCAGCCGCTCACGCCAGGCTTGGATTCGACCACATTTCAGGTGCTCGGAGGGACGGAGGATGCCAATCCCGCCAACCTTACATCGTTTTCTTTGTTTGGGGCCTCCTGGCGTGCCCTCGCTGCCACTCCGTTGAGTGGCCCTCTCGGATACTTATGCCAGGCCTCCCCAACGTGGCCAGAGTAGATGGCGTCGGAGGAGTATGCAGCGTCGCCGATGCATCGTCCATGCGAAACGGAGTCCTCCGAGTGCCCCCCGTCCCGACGTCGCCACATCGAAAATGCATCGGCGATGCGGGGCGATTCCCCGGCGGAATCGACTCTGGCCCCATTCGGGAGCCTTCCATTCTGCTCCCTTCAGGCTCCTGATGCAGAAGGCGTCTCTCTGGCGTCTGGCCTGGAGAACTCGGCGGTCTCGCGCCCAGGCTTGATGATGACTCGTACGTCGTCTACCCCTTCGGGCCGCCAGAGCGACCACACGGCGCTCAGGTCGTCGGCGACGCCGAGCGATCGGCAGAGCGAGCGGGCCTTCTGTGAGCGCAAGCAGACGAAGTGGAGTCAGAGCGAGCGCTTCCTGCTCCTGGACAGCTGGAGGGACAAGGTGCCCGCAGCGAGGCTCGCAGAGCTCGAGCCGGAGTCGAAGCGTCGCAGGCCGGTGATAAGCATGTTCACGTCGAGGATGGCGCGTCCGAGCAGCATGACTGTTGTGAACCCCCTGGAGGTAGCAGGCATGTCCACCACATCGACAGGGCTCCTCTCCAGGTTCGTCATGCACCCCCAGTCCCCACTGGCCTGCGTCTGGGGCACTGTTGTTTTGATGATGATCGCGTACGACACCGTAACTGTTCCCCTCTACACGTTTTACAACTTCGAGCAGTTTCCGCAGGCCATAGAGATAATGGATTGGATGGCCAGAGTATTCTGGGCCATCGATATCTCTATATCGTCGGTGACTGGCTTCCACAAGGAGGGCTACTACGTAGAGATGAGGCCCAGAAAAATATTCGGTTGCGCTTGCGCGGATCTGCCGCAGCGGTATGTGGGCGGGAGGGGGTGGGCTTCAGGGGCTGGGTGGGTGGAGGCATCATCGTCCGAGCCATCCCCACCCCCATCGGAACTACAAGGAAAATTAGCTTTCCCAGCGTGTGCCCCTCCAGGTAGGGATCGGAGCCGCGAAATCCGAAGGAGGCGGCACTGATCCCCACATGAGGGGGGTAGGTCGGCCAGCGGGTCCCAAGTGTTCCTTCGGGGCGTGGGTTTTTTTTGCATCTGGTCCAGATTGCAGGGGGCGAGGGTCCGCCGAACGTGCCACCGGACGTTTTACGTCTGGAATTGGTTTGCACGTTGAAGGTGGAGCAACACGTGAACGCATGTTGGTTTCGATGCGTCGAGGGTACCCGCGATACCCCGCATAAATCATCACTCTCGAAAACCAGAAACGAGGAGTCCGACACACAGCAACCTTTGCGAAGCGCGACGGCGGAGTTTGGGCATATCTCACGTCGTGGTTCTTCTTCGATCTCCTCGTTGTCTCGGCCGATTGGCTTTGGGTTGCGCTGCACTATCAGAGGGCCCTGTCGCCGGTGCCTGTGCTGCGGGGTCTGCGCTTCGCTCGCCTCATCAGGTTGCTGAGGCTCAGCCGGCTCGCGCATGTTATCAACGAGATGTTATTGTGGTTGTGCCACGGGGCCACGTTCCTCATCAGGATCATCAAATTGATAGTGGGGCTTGCCATCAGCATCCATATTCTCGCTAGCATTTGGTTTGGTCTGGGCTCTGTCTCCAGCTCTGGATGGGTCTCTCAGGAGCCGCTCATGGACTCGGCGGCGTTGTCGGCGCAGTATATGATGTCAGTAAGTTGGATAATCACCCAGTTGCATGGCACGAGCCTCGTTCGCCCTCAGACGTTTTTGGAGATGCAGTTCCAGTCGTTGGTGCTCCTGAGTGCAAATGCCTTCTTCGCGGTCTTCATTGCAAACCTAGTGCAGGTCATGATGGCCATCACGAACGCACACAGCCTGCAGATGCAGTACACCTGCAGGCGCTACCTGCGCCGCCGTCGAATCTCCCCCGAGCTTTCGAACAAGCTGCAGCTGCACTTCGGGAAGATGAGCATCGGCACCGCCCTGCAAGACAGCCAGGATCAGACGGGGCTAGAACGAGGATCAATCCGTTCCAGAGCGTTCCGGAACGCCCTCGGAGCGTTCGGGAACACTCTGAGAAGGCCGCGGCACCCGAGACATGCTCGCCGCTGGATCTCAGAGATTATCGATCTATCCTCACCCGATTTTATCCTCGTCCTGGCTTCGTCTAACAGGAGGAAGAGAACAAGCTGCTCGAGTCGCTGCCGCTGGCCCTGCAACAGCAGCTCCACGAGGAGGTGCGCCTGCCTCTCCTGAGCAGCACGAGGCTGCTCAAGACGCACGGCCTATGCAACTACCGCCTGCTGAAGACGCTGTGCTGCGACGCCGTCTCCGGGCTTTTCTGGAAGCCTGGCGAACTGAGGAGGAAAAAGTACCCATACCGCTACCCTCTGCCCGTTTTCCCCTTCCTGGACCTCCTCGGAGGCCCTCGTCGCCACCGTTGGATTCGCTTCGAAATTCTGGTCAGAACGCACCCTGGGGGAGGTCCGGGGAGTAGCGGTATCAGTACCTTTTTGGTCTTCCCAGGCGAGCTGATGTTCACGACCGGCGACTCTTGCACACGGATGCTCGTCGCTGAGTCAGGGAGCAGCGTGTACATCCCAGGCGGGTGCAGGGTCGATTCCAACGGAATCAGCTTGCCGTCTTCTATCCGCACCGGAGCCTCGACGCGCATTTCCGAGTTGTCGGCGGGCACCCAGAGGATATCGGCACGAACGAAATGGGTACGGAAAGATTGGGTACGATGCCCAACAGCAGTTCCTGTTCATTTTGAACAGGACTCGCTTTCCGCGCCGCAGCGGCTTGTGTCCATTTGAGGCAGAAGGCTGCCTGCCCAACAGCTGCCCTTGTTGGTCTGAGACAACATGTGTTGTTGGGCATTGTACCACTTCCGTACCCACTTCGGGCGTCCATAGGATAGTCGTGCGCCGGGAACAGTGTTTGTGCGAGGCGTCCTTGTGGACGCGGTGGACGAACCGCGGCGAGCTGTCTGCGGAGGGCGACTGCACAATGCTGGCCGTGAACCAGGCAGATTTCGCCTCTATCGTCAGCAACTACGAATTCGTCTACGCGGCCGCCCTCAAGTACGCGAGCTGCTACCTCCTCTGGCTCAACGACAGGAGCGCCGAGCAGGGGGTCTCCGACATGATGGACCCCCCAAGGCACCTCCTCGAATACGCCGAGGCGCCGATCGATACTGGCAGCCCGTTCGTGTTCATCTCGCACTTCAAGGAGGAGGCGGGCTCAGACGCTGCGCTCATGGACGAGGCAGGGCTCGACCTAAACGGTGTTTTGGCGATTTCGTGGGCCGTGTTCGTTTTGACTTCGTTTCGCGGCAAAGGCGGATTGAAGACAGAACGAGGGGAAACGAAAACAAAGCGAAACGAAAAAGATTGTTTAGGTCGATCCCTGGGACGAGGGGATCTCTCGGATCATCAGGGGCGATCCAGAGCACCCAGCGTTCCGCCTCGACGCGCCGACCTTCCTGGACTCCAACAACCTCGACGACATCAGGCTGCTCAAGGGCGTCGTCCGGAGCAGCCACAACCTGCTCCTGCTGCTCACCGACCTCAGAGGAGGAAAAGAGTACCCATACCGCTACCATCCGCAAGTTTTTCCAGTCTTGGGCCTCCCGGGAGGCCCTCGTCGCCACCGCTGGATTCGCCTAGAAATCTTGGTCAGAAAGCACCCCGGAAGAGGTCCAGGGTGTAGCGGTATCGGTACCTTTTGGTCTCCCCAGGACAGGGTGCTCTCGAGGCCTTGGGTGTTGATCGAGATTGTGACTGCCATCAAGTATGGCTTGGCGGCACGCCGAATTGTCGGATTCGGTAGCAAATCATGGGAGCCTGGTATACTCTCTTAATTCCGTCTTTAGCGCCGACTAGCGTCGATTAGCGTCGATTAGCTGCGTGGAGTCGATGAAATGTGCCGGTTGATCGTCGATGCGCGTCGATTGAGCGCCGATTTTGCGTCGATTAGTGTCGAGTAGCGTTGATTAGCGTCGATTCGCAAGAGCCGACATGATGGTATGGGAGGCTCCCATGAGTTGCCACCGAAGTCGGGTCGGGCGAGAGGGGGGATCGGGGAAGGGGGGGTATCTGCTGCGTGCAGCTGGTTTCGGCACCGCCGCTGAGCTCCTTCCTTGATGCCTGGCCACTCCTTTAGGCCTCCTAGATGGGGTCGGAGTAGAAGGGGTCGGAGGATCCCGCCGCATCGCCCATGCATCGGCGATGCATCAGCGATGCGGGTCAATGTGGGGCTCAGTTTTCTCCACGCCGACGTCGCCGATGCATCGCCGACGTCGCCATTGCATGGCCGATGCATCGGCGATGCGTCGGCGATGCATCGCCGATGTATCGGCGATGCGGCGAGATCTTCCGACACCATCTACTCGGACCCCATCTAGGAGGCCTCTAACTTCTGATTTCGGGAGGCGTCGGGAATGCCAGCTGCGTACGAGCTGATTCATACCCCCTCTTTGCTATCCCCCCCTCACGTCGGACCCGAAAGTGGTCGGGGCGAGAGGGCGGGCTTTAAGAAGGCACCCCGTCTCTCATAAGCCCTCATGCCTTCGAAGAAGCGTTCTCAGGGGCCTTGAAGAGGGGGCGGACCCCTTCTGAAATTCTTCCCGGTTTCTCAGGAAGCCGCCCCCCTCACCCAGCCGCCCTGGCGGGCGCCGCCAACAGGCGTACCCATCCAATTGGTGCAAATCCAGCGCCCGGGCGTGGACTTCAAGTTCCCCACGGCGGAGGATGAAGTCGTCGTCGTCCTCGGTCGGTCGGTCGGTCGGTCGGCCGGTGTTGTCAGTCGTCGTCGGTCGGTGGGCGTGTCGATCGGTGTCCCCGCCGCTTTCGTCGTCAGTGAGTCGCCCGTCGTCCGTCGTAAACGACTTCGACGGCGGAGGACATCAAGCGGCTGGCGGACGGCAAGGATCTCAGCCCGGACGCCAAGGCCATCCTGAGGGCCGAAAAGATCACCAAGAGCGACCTGAAGGCCATCGGGCAGATCTTCGGCAAGATCGCGCTGCCTTTTTCCCCCCACAGGTCGCTCACGGTCCGCCAGGCCGAGCTGCAGGATCGGAGGTTGCCAGAGGTGGTCCTTGCCTACGGTGCCCCCGCTCTGCCCGTCATGCTGGAGCCCCCAGGGCCCTTCGGGTCTCGTGGGGTGTATTTCAGGAGGAGAAAAAACACACAGACACAATTAATCGTCGACCCCCAGGAAAATATGCGAAAATATGGGAAGTGGGGGGGAAGACAGAAACCCCGAAAATATAGGAAAATATGGGGAATCCTTTTATTTGTGTGTATTTATTTGTGTGTCCTGGCGCCCCTTCAGTATTGTCGAGGCCGCCTGGGCCTCCCCGGCGAAGCTTGGAATCTCTTGGGCTAGGGCCTCTTTTGACAGCAGCCGGCAGGACATCATCTCCCGCTGCGAGTTTGGGCAGTCGAGGACCATGGCCCTCAGAGGTGAAGCACAGCATGATACACGCTGGTCGTGGAAAGCAGGTATACCTGGATTCCCCGAGCACAATCTACTTCAAGCGCCTTCCTACTCCAAGAATCAACAAGTTTTTGCTGTGTTTTATGCTTCTCTGAAAGGACCTGAACCCAATATTGTTTGATCCGCCTTCCTACTTAATGTGTTCACGTACTTCTTCCGACCGACGTGTGATGATACTGATTCGCCTTCTCTTGCTTTTGCCGTCTTTGACCTCCTCGGGGGCCCTTGTCCCCACAGCTGGATTCGTCTCGGAATCTTGGCCAGGCCTGCTCCTTATTGCCAAGGGGACCGTCCAGAGGCCAAACGATCAGCCAGGAAAGGCCAAGAGCCGACCGAACCTGATGCTTTTGTCGGCGCCCGCGGAATCGAGATTTGGGATCTTCTCGATCCCCTCCGGGGGTTCCCAGATAAGGAGCAAAAGAAGGGCGTACACGTACATGAATACACGTTGGTTTCGAGAATACGCATCGCGCGAACCTTCGTATCACGAGGTTGGTCTCGCGGACTGGGGGGGCGTATTCATATACGTGGTTGGGCGCGTGCGTATTCTGTGGACTCCCTACCACAGGCAGTTGACAGCTCCCGTAGACCTGCGGACGTCCAATCATGGCCGAACGCAGACAATCGTCGGAAGCCCTCGGTCCTCGATCCTCGAGGTTCCCATGTTTCCAACGTCGTGTTTTTCCAGTGGGTCCCGCCCGGACCTCCCGATCTCTTTGGGACTGGTTGTTCTTCCCTATGACGTTGGTCAGTGTGTAACCTGGTCGCGGGTGGCGCTTCTCTCCAGGCCCTGGTCCAGGCCCGTCTGGTTGCAGTTGCGCCGCTCTCCCTCCTCCTCGTTCCTCGTCTCTCGTCTCTCTCCCTCCTCATTCTCCTCCTTCTCCTCGTCCTCTCCCTCGGCTCCTCCTCCTCCTCGGCTCCTCCTCCCTCGGCTCCTCCTCTCCCTCGGCTCCTCCTCCTCCCTCGGCTCCTGCTCCCTTGCTCCCCTGCGTTCTGTACTCCCCTCTGCCCCTTCAAGCCTGCCCGCCCGCCTGCTTCGTCTCGCTGGCCCTGCCCTGCCTCGACGCCTGCACACGTGCCGCCGTCTGCTTGCTGCTCGTTCCCTTTCCAAGGGCGCCCTCGAGGGCGCGAAGTTATTCGCGCTTCGCGGTTCGGCTCCGATTCCTCCTCGTCCTCTTTTCCTCGCACTTCGCGCTTCGCGCAGCGCGAAGCGCGAAGTTGGGAGCCCTTGCTTTCTCCCTCTCCGCCGACGCGCAGCACAGACTGCTGGGAGCAGATGGCGCCAGCGCTATCCTTGGCATCGCTCGGACATATGTATTTTTTCTCGGCGAGGACCATCGAGGAGCATGTTGGGCCATCTTGCGAGACACATGCACGCACGAAGGGGAAACATGCACAAGGAATGGACGTCCGAGCGATGGCAAGCATCGGCTTGAGTGCCTGAGCCGTCTTGGGCCCCTCTTGGGCCCTTCCTGGGGCCCTCTTGGGGGGTCTTTCGGGCCGTCTGAGGGTGAGCTTGGGGGGCCTCTCGGCCTGTCTTGGGCGGGCCCTTTCTCCCTGCGTCCTCCAGAGGCTTTAAACAGACTGCGGTAGGTTCGCGTCGTGTCGACCGGCGGCGACCCCGCCGCCTGCGTTCAATGCTGAACGCCGACGGCGACCAAGAATCGGTCGATGTTGAACGATCGAACGTTCCGGAAATGGCCGATCGTCCCAGGTTGAACGGCCCCCGCGGTGTCAGGAACCAGCGCCGGAGTCGGCACGACACGAACCTGCCGTACACCCTAGGCGATGCTTAAGAAAACATAAGTTTTCGGCCAGAGTCTCGATTATTCTTAATGTTTCAATGTGAACCCTAAGATTTTAGTCGAAATTCTGCATTTTTATTCAAATTATGAGGCTTTGAATTTCTTAACCCATGATTTCTTAAGCATTTCGCAGGGTGTACACACCCAAGTCTTCGATCGGTCCTCGACCCTCCCAGGTCCTCCTCGGTCCTCGATCCTCCCCGAGACGCTGGAAGTCCGAGGCCCCGTGGCCATCGGGGACGGGGGGGGAGGCAGCGGGCCTGCCGCGGCTCCGGGGGTCCTTGGCATCGCTCGGGCGTGTGCGTTTTTTTCTTTGGCGAGGACCATCGAGGATCAGGAGGAGAAAAAACACACAGACACAATTAATCGTCGATCCCCCAGAAAATATAGGAAAATATGGGAATTGGGCGGGAAGGCAAAATATGGGAAAATATGGGGATTTGTTTTATTTGTGTGTATTTATTTGTGTGTCCTGGGGCCCCTTGAGAGGAGCGCGTTGGGCCACCGTGCTGAAGCAATGCACGCACGAAGCCGAAGCAGGCACGGGGAGTGGACGTCCGAGCGACGGCGGGCCCCAGGAGCCGGAGGAGAGCAGCTTTGGTCGAGACGCTGGGATGAGGCCCCCTTGGGTCTCAGGCTATGATGTTCCAACCTGCTTTAGAGTTTCGAGCGCCAGGAATGTACCGAAGTTCGAGGGTTCTCGCGTGTCCGGCCCTGGGGGAGACACTCGTCCGACACTGTTTCGACAGTATTTCGACAGTCTTTCTACACTTCTTGTGGTGCTGGGAAGTATTTTCTGAGATGTGGTCCGAAAGTGCGGATGGGAGCAACAGAAGTCTCAGGAGGGGCCCCAGCTTTCGGGCCGCTGCTTCATTCTGGCTCGGGGGGCCAATGCGTGGCCGAGGCTCGCCGTGGCCAGAGCCCCCCCCTTTGTTTCTGGCCCGGCGCTCCTCAGTGCACTTGGCACGATGACAGTGCACATGCCCACCTCGTTCTTGCCCCTGCCCCCTCCAAGCGGAGGGAGGGAGGAGGTGAATTTGCTGAACTGTACTGCATCATGCTGCATCCTTGTTTCGAATCGTCAGGAGCCGGCTGATGGGAAAGAGGCTGGACGAGGATGAGGCCGAGGTCAGGGGGTGCCAACCGCAGTAAACAAATGAACGGCATCGGCACATGATTTTCGAGGTCGGCGCCGATTTCTTGGTCAGCGGTGGGTCCGCCTCCCCCCTAGCGCGCGAAGCGCGCCAGGGGCCCCAGGAGTGTCAGCGCCCATCCCAGAAATTTGCGCGGACCTCCGAAAGTTGATGCATTTGCTGTTGCTTGTTCTTCATACAGTCAAAGCCAGCCTTAAGGATGAGCCTGTCAAGGAGGAGGCCCTTGCATCCCCCGACCTGGGGCATGGTTCTCGTGGTTTCTGTTTGTCGGTCCAACGGTACCCCTGCCTTGGCATGTCCTGGGCCTGTTGCATCCTCATGCTCCAGCATGATGCTGGGTTTTGGCTGTGTGCGCCGATGCTGGCCAGGTGGATCTCGGGCCCAGGATCCACGCTCGACTCTCGAGGATTGCGTCGTGCCCTCCGGAGGCCTCCGGGGATCTGGGGACCTCCGGAGGCCTCCGGGGATCTCTGGCAGGGCCGAGCCTGGGCCGAGGACCGCCCTGGCCAGAGGCGATGCCGGCGGACAATTTGCGCCCTCCTGCGAGGCGCTCGCCCAGACACCGGTGTAGGCCCGCGAGGTCGGACGAGGGAGGGAAGGAGATAGAGTCTAGGCCTCCTGGGTGGGGTCGGAGTAGATGGAGTCGGAGGATCGCGCCGCGTCGCCGATGCATCGCCGATGCGGCTCGATGTGGAGACCGATTTGCTTCACGTCGACGTCGCCGATGCATCGCCGACGTCGACGATGCATTCCCAGCGCAGCACCGATGCATCGCCGATGCATCGCCGATGTATTGGCGATGCGGTGCGATCCTCCGACCCCATCAACTCGGACCCTATCCAGGAGGCCTCTATATAGAGGAAGGATAGAAGTGGGAGGCTTGGTGGGCCAGCGCGTGGACAATCTCGTTTGCGGCCGACTCGGCGCGTCACGGCCCAACCCCAAAGGCCAGCCAAGGATGTGCTCGGGAGCGAGCGGCCTCGAAAATCTGCAGCGGCAAGGGCAGCGCGTGTTCCAATCGACCACACGCTCCACTTCTGGGAGCAGGCCCAGTGGGGTCTCGACACGAGAGGAAGGTGGAGAGGGGGAGGACGAGGGAAGCAGCGGCAGGGGCAGGTGCATGCGGCTTCCCTGCCAGCCCTGCTGGCCCAGGCAGAGCGTTGCGTGCCCCTGGCCGAAGCCTTGGCTCAGAAGCGGCGAGCCTTGCAAGCCGTCCAGGGCGTCGCGCGCCGCGGGGCCCACCGCCCCGTGGAAGCCCGGGGTTCGCGTCCAGCGCCGCGACGCGCCCCCTGCCAGAGCCGAAGGACCCCACGGCGTCCTCGTCCTTGACGTCTTCATCCTCGACCCGCTCGAGGATGGCGTTCATCGGCGCAGCCAGCGCCAAAGTAACAGCTGTCTGGCTGAGGAGCACGGGCGCATGCTCCTCCAGGAAAGCCATGGCATCGTCAGCCTCCCGCGTGTGGGATTCAAGCGCGTCGATGCGCGACCGCATGCCGTCGAAGGTCTTCTCGGTCTTCGTGGCACTTGGGAAAGGTGCCAGGATGCGCGCCTCGGCGTCCAGTCCAGCATCCAGGTCCACACCCTTTTGCATGTCAGAGGCGTTGTGCGGGCCATCCCAGCAACCGCACGCGCCAGCGCCAGGTGCGACGGTTGGCGGCGCTGGTGGCCAGCCAGGAACGCGATGACGTCCAGGAGGTGCACCGCCATGCATGCCTCCGCTCTGACGGTCTGCTCGTGCCGTGCGGCAGCAGGCCGATGGGGGACGGCGTCGGCGGCGGGCAGCACCAGGACGCGGCTCCATCCGGCGGGCACCATTGAGCACCATGCCCGATCCTGCGCAACCCCACCGCAAAATGCGGGCCTGGCGCCCTTGAGCGGTGGCCTAAAGCCACACAAGCCAGTGCCCGAGCCAAAACTACCAAGGAGCAGGAGCATGAGGAGTAGGAGGAGGGAAGTGCAAGATCGAGGAGGAGGGAGCAGCAAGGAATGAGGACAAACGATTAGGAGGAAGAGCAGCAGCAGGGAAGAGCATGAACGAGGGAGGAGGGAGGGAGGAGAGTGGAGAGGCGGCGGAGGAGGAGGTCGAAGGGATCATGAGGGAAGGGCCAACAACATGATTACGAGGAGCAGGGGGAGGTGGAGTGTGAGGGATGGGGAAGGCGGGGGGTGGAAAAGCAGAGAGGAGAGGAGGGGCATGGATGGGGAAGGGCGACACGCGACTATGAGTCTACACAAAGGCAGCAGGGATTCTTCTCTTCGCGGGGGGGGGCGCCTGTCCCAATGCATTCGCCCAAGGGCAAAGATGTCTGCGATTCGAGGCCGCTGCCAGCGGCTCGCCCCTGCCCAGTGACGGCCTGCGCGCGAACATGACAGCTCTGCTTGCTTCTCGCGGCGCGAAGAGCTACGCCGGCCGACTTGGCTGCGTGCTTCTTCCCAGGGCTCATTGGGCCAATGCCAAGGTCGTAGGAGGGACAACTTCTCAGAAGGGGCAACACCCGTCGTGGTCGCCCCCAGCCGGGCAGGTCCACAATGCACCCCCGAGCTGGAGGTTGGAGACGTCACCGGCTGGTCGCCGGACACACGACACAGCGACAGCACATCACACCACCATGAGGACCTCCTTCCCCCCTCTCTGCCGCTCGACCGCGGTAGTGGTGCCGTGCCTCCCCGCCGCTGGCTGGGGCGGCATGCACGGCAGCCGCGGCGGGAGGTGTGTTCCTGATGCCCGACCCCGGGGTCCGCGTGGCTCGTCGGGGGGCTGAAGAAGGAACCCTTCTCGCTGGGGAGGGGCTCCGTGCTCCTGGACTGTTTCACAGTTTGCCTCCGGTTTTCCCTGGGTTTCCGATGGGGAAGCGAAGTTCAGTTTTTGGGAACAAAAAGGGCCTCGTTCCTCATCAAGGGCTCCTCAGGTCAACGCCCCGACTGCACCGGCGGGGGTCCCGGCAGAGGCTCGCAGGGTGATGGGCCTGTTCTCCGTTACCACCACCATAAGTTGGAGGGGGAGGGGGTCCTCCTCCTCCACCTCCTCCTCCACCTCGTCTCCTCCTGCTCCTCCTCCTCCTCCGCCTCCTTCCCCCCTCCATTCCCCCCTCCAATTCATGGTGGTGGCGGTGGAAAACAGGCCCATCACAGGGACTCTCGGGGCAGCCAGCGGAGCCTCGCGAGGGGCCGGCCCGGAGGGCTGCGATTCTCGGTCGGCGGCGAGCGAGGGGGGGCGAGTGCTAAGCAGAAGGCATTCTGCAAAGCCTGGGCCTCCGATCGGGCCGAACGAAAGTGGGGGATATGGGCCTTCAACGGTTGGGTTGCGGGTCGGGTCAATGGGAGGAAAGGGGGGGATATGGGCCTTCAACGAAAGGGGGGGTTATGGGCCTTCAACGATATGGGCCGTTGAAGGCCCGAATTCCGGGTTCGGGTCAAGGGAGGAAAAACCACCCAGACCGGACAATCGGCGTTTACTAAACGGCCCTGGGAGTTTACTAAACGGCCCTGCTCTGTTTCGTTCCTTCTTTGGGCGCGCTTACTAAACGGCTTCGCGTGTCGGGGTGGTTATTATCGGGGTGGATCTTCTGCCGTCAACTAGGCCTCCGATCGGGCCGAACGAAAGTGGGGGATATGGAGAGGGGGGGTACGAAGTCTGCTGCATGCAGCTGGTTTCGGCCCCGCCGCCGGGCCCAGTCCTAGATACCGGGAGGCGCCAGGAAAATCATCTATACGTGAGCTGATTCTCAAACCCCTCCTTTGCTATCCCCCCCTTTCGCCCAGCCCGATCTTAGATGTGGTCGGGGTAGATGGGGCTGGGGGATCGCGCCGCATCGCCTGTGCATCGCCGATGCGGCGCGATGCGGAGCCCGATGTTCTCCGCGCCGATGGCACCGATGCGTCGCCGATGCATCGCCGATGCATCGGCGATGTATCGCCGATGTATCGCCGATGCGGCGCGATCCTCCGACCCCATCTACTCCGACCCCATCTAGGAGGCCTTCTCTCAGAAGGCGGCGGGACTTCTCAGAAGCCATCGCGTTTTCTGAGAAGTGTTGTGCCTTCGGGGAAGGCTCAGGAAACTTCTTCGAAGGCTGGGGGGCTTCCGAGCCTTCTCAGAAGGCCCGCCCCTTCTCGCTTCCCCCCGGGCTCGCCGCCGCTTCAGGGCGAGGCGGCTTGGTGCTGGCAGCGGCGGTATCACAGGTGATTGCCTCGACTTTGTTGGCGCCGTCCCTGTATGCGAAAGTCTACTTGTATGAATATCGAAGACGTCTACGGCGAAGTGCCGCCGCCCCCTGCCTTGTGGAATCGCCTTGTGATGTGGCCAAGCGTTGGGTCGAAGCCTGGCCAAGCCATTTGACTGATCGAATGTCATCCCAACTGTTGTGGAAACCCCGTTGGGGGGAACACTTAGGGGAGAGCGAGAGAACGAGAGAGAGAGAGAGAGAAAAAAAAAAGCAGACAGAGAGAGAGAGAGAGAAAGAGATAACATATAGAGAGAGGGGGAGAGAGACTGCCACAGAGAGAAGGAGAGAGAGAGAGAGAGAAGAAAAACACAACAACAAAACAACGAGATATAGAGAGAGTGAGAGACAGAGAGAGAAGAACACAAAGAGGATGGGGAGGAGAAGGAGGAAGAGGTGGTGGAGGAGGAGGAAGAGGAGGACGAGGAGGAGGAGGGGGAGGGAGGAGGAGAAGGTGGAAAAGGAGGAGGAGGAGGACGAGGAGGAGGAGGAGGAGGACGAGGAGGAGAAGGAGGGGGAGGAGGAGGATTTTTTTGAAGGAGGAGGAGGAGGAAGAGGAGCGCTAAGATAACCGATGGTTAGTTTCAAAAACGGAGGGTGGAGCCGCATCTGGCGACAGCGTGGTCCAAATCTCCCGCCAAGCGGGAAACTTGGTCTAGGCCGATGCCAGAAGCGGCTCGGGTGGGCCAACGACGCCTCACCCCGCTTGAATTTCTCGAGGAAGGCCACACCCGTTGGCGCTTCTGATGGCATGAGCGCCACACGTTAAGCATCTGTATGTCCCCTTACTAGGTATGACCATATCGTGTGATGGGTCAACGTACCGTGCACCTATGAAAACATTGCTCAACCATCGGGCGCCGTCGATCCCCGCGCGTGGCACAGCGCTCACGCATGGTGTGGCTAGAAAATCCTGGGTGGCCTCATTTCCGTGGGAACTCGTAGATATAACCGAACAGCACACACAGCAGGCGAAACGACATGTCAGTCTTGTCTCGCCTACTGGGATCAGAGTGTGCGCACCACTCTCGGAGAAGTCTGGCGAGCTTAGGTCGAGGGTTAAAACTGGGCCCCGAACTCTTTTTGGCCTGAGCTTTTGCTCGGACACGGGGCCTGGGCTGGGGTCCCGAATATTCGGAAAACCTCGAATTCAAAATGTCGCATGCACGGATACTCACTGCACGGGTTAGACCCTCAGCAATCTGGACGGCCTCGACCACATTTGGGGGAAGCTGGATATGCTTGGACAGTTCCTCCGCCAACCTATCCGCGATATGATTTCCAACCCACGAGAACAGCAGCACATATTTTTCAACAGCCTGCTGAGGCGACATGTGCGACTCGATCT